TTTTTTATTTTACCCAAGTCAAAAACTTATCTTTATTTTCCAAGATTTTCCTTCAATATTTATTTCTTTTAAGGCTAATAAAGATTGCAGCATCTTTCTATTCTTTTTCCCAATTTAGTCATCACCTCTCAATTTTTATAATTAAATATATTAAATTATATATATTTTGCAAATTAATGCATGACATAAAATTCCGGCGCCTGAAATATGACATGGTAGACAAATTTTAACTGGTAATAAAATTCGTCGATAGTTCTATTGTCGTTGTCTGTCTTCCTTTTTTTATCACTCGTTTCATCCTATTAAATCGCTAATCACACCCTAAATAACACAGCAGCGCTTCAGTGGTCTAATTGACGAAAACAAACGTTAACAACCCCGTGCATGCGCAGGCTGCATACTAGTTTGTTATTAATTTTTGATCATTTAGCTTATAATTTGTGGCAATATGAAAGTATTTATACTATTATAGTTACTTTTAAATTTATATATCCATAAAATTAAAAGAACACTTTCCAAAAATCTTAATATATTTATTGGAAATATTGAATTCCTAAATAATGTATAAATATTTAGCAAATTTTTTTTGATAGGTTATTTATAAACTTCCTACTTAGTAGTATAGAAATTATTACTAACCACAAAGGATATAGATTTTTTGGTGGATAAAAATTAAAAATAAAAATCAATTGTTCTTTTTCTTTTTTAACTTAATTAAGATTGCCAGTACTCTCTTGACCAACAGCTCCAGACTTCCTCTTTCCGACACACTATAAGCAATCTGCAAACAAATATACTGCAACAGAACACATGGGAATTTTCAATTACCTGTGGTCTTATTTATGCTTCATAACTCATAAGTTAAAAAGAAAAGGAATATGCACAAAGGATGCACTGTGCTGAGATAGCATTTATCTTACAACAAACAACAGAAACGAGCTGAAATGTTCCGATGACATAAGAGCTAAAACAAAATGCTCGGGTAAAAGAAAAAAAAAAAAAAATTGCAGGAACAAAAGGAAAATCAAAAACGTCTTCGTTGCATCGACTTTCCACGCATACATTTGCTGTCACCAGACCTGCTGATCGTGCGGACGAAACCCGTCACTGCCTTTGAAGATTGGCAAGATTCCGAACTTTTTGACAGCTTAGTTGCACAGGTGTCATAGACAAACTTATCATCAGGGGAACTGTATGCACTAAATTCCTACAAGATAACGTTATAGCATAAATGTAAAGTTCGAAATAACATGGGATTTTGTATTTGAAAAAAAATATCAAATAGAATAAAATGGGGAGGTAACCTTGGATTTCGTCTTTGAATAAGGTGTTAGGCAAGGATTCAAATCTTTGAGGATCATGTCATCTGGGCTGTCTGGGGTTGTGTAATCACCCGAGCTATATACTTGATCAAACTGTTTGATAAAAGACGTTTGGTAGCTTAAAAACAAATTGAATGTGATTGATTAATAATGAAATAAGATTATGGCAAGTAATATATAACCAATATAGTCAAGTAATTAATCACTTTTCTTTTTACTCATCTATATAAGTATAAATCCGAAATATCCTCTTTACCAGAGAATTAGCGGCATCCTCTTGATCGTATGATGGTGTTCTTGGGGAGCTAAATTGATTATCGAATAATCCCCTTCCAGAGGAATACTTGTCTGCCTTCACCTGTTCACAGAAAAACAGTGGTTATGTTACAGATATTCTTCATTAAAGTATTACATATCAGATGCTAATATAACTCGAGTGCAAATACCACTACTTAATTATTGGAAACAAGGAAAGGAATGGAAGCACATTGTTTTGTTTCAGTTCACTTAGTGGTCAATAAACCTGAAGATTATCGTATACTTTTACGGAAAACCATGACACTTTGTCCTAAATAACTTTTTTCCAGCTTTTCTTGAATTTAAAACCACTAAAGTGGTAGTGTTACATTAAAGAAAAAATATCAACATTTCATCCTTATGCATATAAGTAACAAGCTAATGATACTGTTTATGCAGCCCCACCACTTAAATCTATTTTTTGCACAACCCAGTGAGAAGATATATGGACAAATACAGCCTATGGAATAACGAATAGCAATTATTTTCCATTAAGAAAAAAAAATATGTGGGTATTTGAGTGAAGGTGTGATTACTACCTCGGCAAGATCCTCTGCAAGACATTGCAGTTGGCCTGTGAGAGAAGTGACCTGTTTCTGAAGACTTGGAATTAGCTGTTTTGCCTGTTTTAGCTCTGAACCCTGCTTATCCATTAAGTCCTGAAGTTGCAAGTTCAAAACATCTGGGAAGAGGATAGCACTTTTTAGAGACTTTATCTCTTCCCTTTGCTTCAAGCACAAGTCTTTCAATTTCTCAACCTGCAAATCACATAATATATTATTGCTAAGCAGAATTCAAAATGGAAATGTAAAAGTAAGAGTATATTATTCTGCCAGAATGATCATATAATATCAGGGATCAAATATTCAGAATATTTATCAAAGCTATCCCAAATGTACCCTATCATATGACCTCATTAAAAATCTAAAATCGCTTCCTGGAAATTTCGAACATTTCCAATTCTACCAAACACTACAAGAAATCACATGCAATAGTATCGGTTCACAGATCATTATACAGAAATTTTCACGAAAGAGCTTGCACCCGCACGCAAAATTAATTTTCAAACATCTTGATTTTCTTATTTGAGCTCTCATTTTAATTAATTGTGGCTGGTCTCATTACATGTCTCAACAAAAATAACTGAGAAAAATACAGTCATTCAAGTTCATGATCCAATTACCTTTTTCCATTTCCAAACCCACTCAATAAACCCAAACGCAACCAAAATAATCCGAATTCCATAAACAGTAATCCCAATTAAACAGCAGAAAATCAAAACACATATTCTCACCTCTCGATTCTTTTCCTCGATCAACATCTTGAGCTCCGAAATCTCCTCCTCGTGCTCCTTGTTCTGAATCAACAGCTCCCTCTCACTCCTCAGCACCATTGCCAGCGTCCTCGTGTTGCTCTTCACCTCAGTCAGCGCCTTCTTACAGCCGTCGTCTCCCCTTTTTGGCCCTGACGATGACCCAGAAGATGACCCTTTGAACAGCTTCTTGTGGAGCCCACCCAATCCCGTTGCCCTTTTATTATTCTTCTTCAGATCGGCCGCCACGAGGTCGGAGGCCACCACGAACTTGGGTCCCCTGTCCGAATTCTTGCCCGTCTTCTTGCTCTCCACCAGTTTCCTGACCATGGAGGTGAAATTCACCGGTGCCGCCTCCTTTTTCTTGGTCAGGGCGCGTGAGGAGGGGAACTCGGCAGATGACGAGGGGTCGGATTTCGTGGAGCTGTTGAGGCTGTTGGTGTAGCGAGTTGCAGGCCTGATTGAAGCCATTTTTTTATTTGTTTTGCTCTTGAAATTATTATTTATGGTGATTTTGATTCTTTTTTTTTCCCTTTTTGGATACTGGGATTGATTGAATGATTTTTGTAGGGTTGATTGGAGAGATGGGAAGTGAGGAAATCTTTGTGTGTGTGTGATGGATTTTTTGTGTGATATAAAAATGGTGAAGCTTCTCCAAATTCAAATTATTTTGGCGTGGGAGGCAAATCTGTGTGTGTGAAATGTTGGGCACTGTGAGGACGAAAAGGACCTGCGGGGTGGCGGGATGTTTTTTTGTTTTGAATTGTGAGGAACAACGACGTTTGTCTGTACTGTAGGTGGGGTTAGAAACGTCAAATGGCAGATTGCTGATTTATAAAGGAAATATGGCCAGAACAAGAACAGGATATGTGTGATTGGGGAAAATTAGTTATCTATAATCTACCAATTTTTTTATGGAGTCATCGAATGATATGACTTATAGAATCATTCACAATTATTCACAAATAGTATATTGACACATATTCTACAATAAATATACTTTGAACATGTGTGAATTCATCAAAGTATCGATGACTCCATAGAATTTCTGTCTACATATAATATAATTGTAGGTAAAGTTTTTAATGCAATTTATTTTGTTTTCTGGTCTTTTACGTTACTTTTGCATATCAATTATATATTATTTTTTTAAATATAATTAATCCTAAAATGTACCTTTAAACTATAATTAACGATCAATTTTCAAATAACAATAGAAGCTTATTGCTACATTTTATATTAATTTAATTTTAATGATAATTTAACTACTTTATTATATAATAGTAGTAATTAATTATAGGGAAATACTAAGGTCCCGTTACGGTACCATCCCGTCGGTAGTTTTAACCGTTGGATGCACATGTAGTTAATATAAAATAGATGATACAACGGTTAAAACATCCAACGGGATGGTACCGTAACAGGACCATAGCATTCCCCTTAATTATAATATAAGGAAGTTACTTACTTATCAAGGATTATGTTGCAATTTCTTTTCTTCAAGTTATTTATTCTAATAATAATATTTTTCATCTCATTAAGCGAAGTTTCTTTAAATTAGCTAATTAGTTTTAATTGCATAATCAAAATTGCTTAAAATTACATAAATAATTAATATAATAATAATAATAATAATAATAATAATAACAATTTCCAGTCAATTAGTTGGTCATGATTTCTCAAAATTATACAAATGAAGGATGGATCCCCAAAATACAAAGGACTAAATGTATTTATAGTTGCCCAACAAAACAAACACTTCTCACACACACACTTAATGATTCTTCGACGGGTCTCGAAACACAGTTCGCAGCGAGTGTGAGGTGTGGAGGGCTGGTAACAGGAGCATTCGCAGGCACGCGAACTCGGGTTCGCAGCGAGTGCCAAGGCATGGGACTTCTCTCAGGCTGGACTCGCGCGCTCGTAAAATGCCATTTGCAGCGAGTGTTAGGTCGCCTCGGGCTGGCATTGGCGTGGCCGCGAACTCCTTCTCGCAGCGAGTGTAGCAGAAGGTGTGAGACTTCTCGCGCGGTCGCAGTATGAGCTTCGCTGCGAGTGTCGGGCAGGTCTTCTCAAGCGCCGGGTCACGCGCTCACGAATTGCAAGTCACTGACCAGCGAGACGGAGTTCGCTGGCGAGTGCCCTGGTGCACTCGGAATTGGCCCCGGGCGGCTTGGGTCGTTGGGGTGGTTCGGGTGGCTCGGGAATGGTTTGGACGGCTTAGAAATGTCTCAAAAAGGTTCGTCTTCCCAACTTGAACAATGTGGACCTAAACAACACCAAAAGGACAAAAAAATATGACACAAACACAAAACGCACAACGAGAACAAAAAGACACAAAACACGACAAAATTGACCGATTGACACTAAAACGAACCTACAAACGACTCGACTAAGACACATAATACACAAGAAAATAAGCACAAAAACACAACAAATAATGATCCTTCTACTTTTTCTGTGTATAAAATTAAGGCATTACGGCCAGCCAATTCAGCGAATCATACATAACAATAACGCTTTCTTTTGCCGATATCTTGCATGATCGACAATTCGCTTGTACAATTTTTAATTTTAGTTTTATATCCTGTCTATATACATTTACCATTAATCCTATTAATTTCCTTATTTACTATAAAAACCGTAATTTCATACCACTTCAATCTCCATGATTAAATCCCTCATTTATTATGGTTGGTGTATATCATCAACAGTAATAATAATATAATATTTTTTACTTCTAACTAAATTATTCAGGATAACTTAAAATTGGTAAATACTACATAATTCATTATATTTTATGTCATTTTTATAATGATGTACATGTAAAATATAATTTATAATTATATTGTTTATTTTTGAGTTAAATTGATAATTTTGACTGCAATTTGTTCTTCATTACTGCATTTATGTGATAAAAAAATTGAGTTGCTTGACCAATTATTTTTGCTTTTAGTGATACTTTGTTATTGACTGAGTAAGCGTGTGGACAAAATTAACTTGCACAACTCATGTAGGTGTAGCCCATTATTAAATAAATGTTATGTTATTAATATAAACACATTCAAATCATTTTGGGATTAGGTATATAATGTTGGGTTCGCCTGTACCGTACGGGTTATACGCAGCGGAAAATTATGTTTCAAAAACAAGTATTTATCGTATAAACACTCAACCCATACGTACATATAGCGAATGCACGAATCGTCATCATTTAAAAACATGTAATAATACAAATTTTATTTGTTATAAGTAAATTAAATTTACCTTTGTTCTTGAACTCCTTCAAAATTGACGATGAATGAGGAAATCAATTCCCGGTTTGGTAACGTCCACTTCTTGATGTTACTCGCTTTAGGAATCCAAATGTTTTCCCTCTAATCGTGTCCACCTTTTGAAATTCGGTTCCGTAATAGTTTCTTCGCTAGTAGAAATTACTCGGTTTTTATTCAATAAGTATAGAATATATTTTGAGGAGATTTTTACAAGAACTCTTTCTTGTTTTATATTTTGAAGAACACTTCTTCTTTTCTCTCTTTTTCAACTCTTGAAAAACTTAGCAAAACTTGGATTAAAATGAACATCATGTATGTCCATATTTATACTAAACATTTTAGTATAAAATAATAATATTTGGTGGAATATTTTCATAAAATATAAAAAGTCTTCAAGAATATTTTCATAAAATATTCATTCTTGAATAGGACTATTCCCACTAAATATTGTATTAATAAAAATAAGATTAATTATGTAGAGTAGTTAACAACTATAAACCACCATAATTAATTTATTCTTATTAATATAAAATAATAATTCTTGAAAACAATTTTTCAAGACTTTATTATTTTAATCTTTTGTCCCATCTCCTCATTTAATAATCATATTATTATTTGGATTTGAAATTTAAAATCCAATTTTAAATTCCAATTATTTATTTAGTAATTCCATTAATTACTAAATTAATATCCAAAAAATACAATTAATCAATCTAATTGATTAATTTAATATATTCCTTTAATTGACATCTAATCAAATTAGTTTTGTCAATTAATTCTAACTCTTTAGAATTACTATTTGAATTTTACCTTCATTCAAAAATTGGTGTGACCTTTTAGGTTCACAATTAATACTAGTAGTGGGCTTACAACTCTTTGTAATTTGAATTAATCTAATTAATTCTTATTCATGAAATTAACTCCTTAATTTCAAGAACCCACATATCATGGGAACATCTAGCAAGTAGCATGAATCTAGTATTAAGTGAATAACGAGTAAACCTATTTCGATTACAAGTCCATACATGTAAAATCCTTTCGACATCCAATTTCCCGATTAAATCTTGGGTTTGATTTTGTCGAAACCCAAATTGATTTAATAACTATGATTCTATTTCAAGTTTAGTAATTCGTTTATGAATCTCTATTCATCCCACCTTGGCCAAGGACTTTGAATTACTAACTATGAAACACATAGAAAATTCACTTATCTTTATAAGTGTCGAATTCTTTGTTGGTCACTGACAAACTTCCATACATATTAATATAATACCCAAAATATCCCTTTATACGATTGTCTAGCAATCAAAAGGATAAATCAAAGTAAAATATAATATGTACAAAGTTACCATCGTGCCTCAAGTCTAAGGATTAATCATGTACTATTGTAACATGAAAATTCTTATTCGACATATAAATTATCATTAAGAATTTTCATACGGTCATATTCAGTGAACTTGTTCTCTAACAAGCACCCACATATATGTATTTGCGTCCCACGCTAATGTTGATGGAATGCAACATTCTTGTCCAACAAGTATACATCATATGTGCAAGTCTTTTCCGGATTTATTC